TTATCACTGACCGCACTTCACAGTCGGCGGGAGCTGGAATAAGAACCTCCATCTTCAACAGCTGCAACGATGCTACTGTGAGAACGCGGGAAGTACCGTTAGTGCATGCGCCATGCTACGTCATTGCTCTATCACGTACGCACAGTCGCTTCGCTCAATATAAGGTTTGCTAGCTGTGGGACGAGTGGGAAACTTACTTTTGGGACGCGGCTCGTATAACATGGAATGTTTTTATTGTCATGCCGTTAATATAGAATGTTAATATCATGTCCCACAATGATCTAGGAGCCATCAGATGGAGATGACGAGATGGGAGTTGTGGGAGCTGTTGCTGATGACCAGGAGGCTGAATACATACGTAACATTTGTGAGAATGATATTGTGTCAAGTGAAAATCTTCTTGCTGCTCTTAGGTATGTTTCTGCACAGTATCAGTCTTACACTCTTGTACATACACTGGTGTTCCAAATGGCCTCCTTCTCCCCCCAAATATCTCTAAATATTTTGTATGAATTTTTCTTTTTCTTACTATAGTAATATTACGTTTAAGATTTCTTAGGGGTTTTTGAGGGATCCAGTTCTGGAAATAATTTAATAATCATCCATTGATTTTTTATCAAATTAGATCATCCTATGACAGTCTTCTTCATTCACTCTCTCCTTCTATATATATTTCAGCTTCTATTTCTGTATTGTCTTTCCTCACTTGGTCTTCATCCTTTTATCTTCCTAATGGCCATTTATATAACATTTAATTTTTGTTGTTAAATTAAATTCTGTTGTCTTTAATTTCATCAGCTTTTCTTGCATTGTTTCTAGTTTCACATCTTGTCTAACACCAAGCTTTCAAAGTTTTTCCTTTCTTGTTTGGTTCTTAGTACTCTAAAGATGTAATTTCCACTTCCTCTTACCTGTTTTCTAACTTAACCATCTCTGTCATCCCGTGCATGTGATGTCATATTCATACAGTATTATCCACAGACTTCTCATTCCAACATCATCTCTGTTTTGAAGGGTTGATGGCTGTAATTTAAAAATTACAGAAAGCCATAGAATAGATATTACAGTCATTAATACATTGTGCATATTGTATGTAGCAAAAGTTTGAATTTAGCATGTTGAAAGGGTGAAGACTCAATTTTTCCCAAAGATGTATGCTTGAAATATGAATTACATTGTTCTCTAATAAAGCATGGGAATTTATTTTGATTTGTCTGTAGTCCTTTGGTAGTGACAATATGTTCTAATCCAAACAAGTATAAGGATACAAAGCTTCAGACTGCAGCATCACTTTCACTGACAAAAATGATGATGGTATCGTCAAGTTTCTGTGAGGATCATCTCCAACTTTTAGTGACTGTATTGGAAAAGTCAGCGGAACCTGTTATAAGATGCAATCTCATTGTGGCGCTTGGAGATCTGTCCTACAGATTTCCCAACATCACTGAACCTTGGACATCACATATATATAGCAGGTGAGAAAATTGTACATTGCGTTTGCCTTGTGTAGTATTTGGTCAGGCATGATGTATGCTTGGTATGTTTTTAGCTAGCCCATCTCTCTGGCCTTAGCACTCATTCTGAGTTGTGGAGTAGGAATTACCTAATATTGTCTACTTAAAATTCCTATTTATAATTGAGCTGGATTTCAAAATAAAGACTCAAATCTATCCAAAATAACAAATGCTGTTCTAATTATTGTGATATTGATTTTATGCCATTTTGCACCCATGAAAGTGACTGATGCCAACTGAATGGGCTGATTTCTTGCACCTATCAGCAGATGCCAATGGTTATGTCTGTTATACCTTTATATAGTGTACTGTCTTGAAGGTATAAATCTGAATTTGGAAAGAGGAAGATGAATTCATTTTTGTTCAGCAAGATCCAATATCTGTTATTTGCTTACATATCACATGATCTGTGTTGTGACCGTGGAGCTGTGAAAATGTGACAGTGCTCTGTGAGCAGGATACCGCTGTACTGTGTCAAAGAAACATGTTGACATCTTCTGAGATTAAATAATATGTAAATGCTATAAATGTGTTAATATTTATTTAGAAGCTGTTTTTGCTATTATCATATAAATGTCTTGTTGCAGATTGCGAGACCCAGCATCTGAAGTCCGTCAGGGTACTATGTTGGTACTCACAAACCTCATTATGAATGATATGGTTAAAGTCAAGGGTCAGATTTCAGAAATGGCACTCTGCATTGTTGACACAGAGGAGAAGTTGGCAGGTAAAAGTCTATTACATAACATCAGACAATATGAACATGACAGTGGATGCTGTCTTGAAACAGTGTGGAAACTTTGTTCCTTATTTAACATTTTAACTCTGTCCCTGGCCTTCATGTGAAGTCCTGCCAAGAGTACGTTTTGATTTGAATGCTACAAACATGTCATTTGAATAATGAGAAAATGTAAAGATAAGGTAGACTCTTATTTATGTTCTTGGGTAATGTCTGTTGAGGAGGCTGATTTGCCAGTGTTTTGCACAACCTGCATTTTAGCTAGATAACTGTACTATATCAGCAGAATCATGTACAACTAGTGAGCTGTGTGTTGCACAACTTCATCAGGGAAGTATCTGAAGATGTTTCAAAGTTTTATTTACAGACATTAATTTTTAATGTATGTGGTTATTTATGCAATGTGTAGTATTCTGAACATATGTGAACATTTAAAAATTATAATAATTTAATCTCTACTTATATTGGTTTATGTTAAATGTTATACTTTTCTGGTTAAATGACCTTCCCAGTGGAGAATTATAAATTTCCCAGAGCGATGAAAGTTAAAACAGAAGTGATTGGACAAGAAGTCACTGCTGTTACCACACTCTAAAAAATATTTGAAATGACAACTTTGGGGTGTACTTAGTGCTGGCATAGACTTTGAGTACATGTAGAATTTTTAGGTTCCTCCATGGTGAGATGATTATGTTAATCCTTTCCATTTGAGTATTGAAGTGGGCTTGACAGCATGTTTTAATTTGTAAGGGCTAGTGTCAAGTTCCACTCTACTTGCAATTTCTCTATGATTTTTTGCTCTTATGTAAGGAATCTTATTATCTGTCAATGACCTTATGAATTATTTTAAGTTTGGTGTTGAAGAACTCACATTTGTTTGTACAAATTATTGCAGTTACATTATGGAAATCACCTCAGAAGGAAGCAACTGTATGTCAGTATCCAAGCAATGACCTTTTGTGTTTCTGTTGCCATTTAGCAGTCTGATGTTTTGCTTGTAAATCTGTGTTATGGTCCAACATATGATGGATAAAAATTAAAAGATGAGGATATAATTAGAGAAATAAATGATGTAGAAAGCAATGATTGAGTGGTTAGATGAATAATTTTTTGAGTTGCTGTGTAATGAATTTTTGCAAAATTAATTTGGAGCAGATTACTGAAATTCATAAAAAGAAGATATTGACTGGAAAGGGCTAACTACTTTGATGTGTTTACCATTCTGCAATCTATAATTAAATCACTACTTAGTGCTTTTTTTGGAGACATTGTATTTTAACACAGAAAGAAACGAGTAAAGCTGAGTGAAGGAAAGTCACTTCCTTGTGGTTTGTCCCATTTCATAAATGAATTTTTTTACCCTGCCATGCCTGCAGGAGCCAGTAAGGTGAGTTAAGCTTGGGGATGTTTGTCACAAGCAGATATTTATAATTATTTTTATTTCAGAAATGGCATGCAGATTTTTTGTGGAACTTTCTCACAAGGGTAATACTCTTTATAATGTGATGCCAGACATTATCTCAAGACTGTCAACTCCAGATTTAAAACTTGAGGAGGGAAAGTTTAAAACTATAATGAAGTAAGTATTAAAAAGTTTTTTGTGAACATTGTCCATAATATTTCTTCCAGGGTGAATCATCTTATGATAATACCTTATGCTTGTCTGTCTTCCCATGCTTACTTCTCCTTTATGTGTGTCCACTATTTTGTATATATTCACTAATTGGTACCCACCATTTCATTATTTCTTCAGTGGGCTTTCATTTGACATCTTTATTTGATATGGCTGTATTAGTACTATGTGTAATTTGAGCATTTTCTTACCATTTCGCATATTTTTCCGTATTTAGGTTCATCATGGGTTTGATACAGAAGGATCGACAAATGGAGTCCCTTGTTGAAAAGCTCTGTCTGCGTTTTCGAACGTCACAGAGTGAGAGGCAGTGGAGTGATTTGGCATTCTGTCTTTCACTATTACAATATTCAGAACGCAGTTTGAGACGGCTCAGCGAAAATCTGCCTTGCTACGCTGACAAGTTGCATTCACAAAAAGTGTATGACACATTTTGTGTCATACTGGCTGGTATCAACAAAACAAGTAAACCAGATCTGAAGGTTTGTATTATTTTAAATTAGTCTATTATTTTGTAAGCAGTTACTTTAATACGTTATTAATTATGCAAGTATGTTTGTTTCGCAATAAATTTTTAATTATTTTACTTACTTTATGAAACCATGTGTTGATATCATGCCACAGAAATATAAAACAAATTTTGTACCTTTAATTCTCTTCCATCTATTATATCAGGATTTCCAACATTGAATGTCTGAAGTGGGACTTTCACTATACCCTTCATTGTAGAGCCTTGAAATTGTGTACCAATCATTGCACAGAATTCATCCATGTGCTCATTTCAAAAACTGCTTGACATTATAATTACATCTGGTATTGTGGCTTTACACTGAAATATGTTACACAACATTTGTTTTGTTTGTAATCAATCCACTGGAAGCCGTACTTGACATGAAATCCAGATCAGACTTGTAAAATAAATGGGTCATCATAGAGGTTGTTGGTATGTAAGAGGAAATATTTATATTATTAAGATCTACAACTGTATTTCAAACATTTCTCATTACACATGTAACAAAATATAGGGCCAGAAAAATTTGTTTCTCTGTTTATGTATTATCTCTGTATTTGCAGTCAAAATCAGAAAAATGAAGGGTGCAAAATTATGAGTACCTCTGGCAGATATGAGAACTCAGATTTTTCAAGAACAATATAATTCAATAGAGTACAAGCAGCTCTATGTTTGTGGTGTCAGCTGTGTAATTTGTTTAAAAGTTATAATATACAGGCTAGGAAAATGAAAAATTACTGGAAAGCATTAGCATATTGTATATTTTTAATTGTAATGAGTTATTAAATGTAAAATATTAATATATATTGTGTTGTATCATTATTTAAACTATTGTTGTAGGCAGCAGCTGATGAACTGGAAGTCAAAATTAAGGAGTGCTATAGTAAAGGTGCAGATGATGTCTTGGTGTCACAGAAGGCTGCTGCAACTGGTCGAAGGAGAACAGCCAATACACCAGCAGGTGAAATAAACATTCTGTTTTATCCCTGAATATAGTTAAATGAAGGACTGTAAGATTGGAATAAAGAAAGTTATTTTCAGTGAAATCCAGAGGATTTGCCAGAACAAGATAGGTATGAAACTACAACATTTGGAGACTGCCTTCGTCTCCATCGCCAGGGACTTATGTGATGAGTAGCAAATGGTCTGATAAATATTTGTTGATATAATGGAGCCCATTCTTTATTGGCCACAGAGTAATGGGCAGATTAAATCTTTAGAATCCTACAGTTAGCCTGTTACTTGGACTGGGGTGACCATAGTGAAGTAAAGCAGTTACCAGTCTTGCAGTTGACATAGTTCAGTGTTATTTAGTGTTAGAGTATTACAAGAGTGTATTAGAATTGTTTGAAGCGTGGGAGTAACAGGGTTCTATGATGTACAGGTAGCCCTCAATTTGCACCGATTCAGAATAACGCTGATTTTGAAACCAGCAAATCAGAAACTGAAAAAAATATATTTTACTATTATTTATAATGTTTTACAATGTATCTCGTACTGATTCTTATACTAAATCATAATTCTTACATCGCTGATTTTGAATAAAAATTATAAATACAGTCATCTCTGCAATTATGTATGTTTTGTTAACGCGAATTTGCTCCAATGAGATCGATGAATCGGTAAAATCTGTTTGTAAAATGCAAACTTTTGCATATGCGAGTTTGCTCTTATGCAAATTCATTCCTGGCCCTTTAAACTTTCAAAGGACTAATTTAATCTCTGCGGAGGTCCCGGGGTTATTTCTACTACACGATTTTCTACAGGTCTGTGTCTTACATGAATGCAACTATCGCATAACATCAGAGATGACTGTACACATCTGTCACATGAAAGAATCGCAGTCAATTGCGGGGACCAACGAATTGCCGATTGTAAGTGTATAAAATATATTTTTTAAATGTCCTTTATTTTATTTACATTATTTCAGAGCTTTAAATGTAATACCATTATATTGCTCGTCAATGTTTGGGTGCTGGGAACACATGTCATTGACTTCCCATTGATTTACATTATAAAAGAGTTTCAATTTACGCTGGTTCGTCCAGGAACGCAACCCCGGCGTAAATCGAGGGCTACCTGTACTTGCTTTTAAGATTTTAGAATGTAAGTAGATATCAAGTATTCCTTATTGTCTATTTTAATTGTCGCTGTTTCTTGGCTCCACAATCCAGTTGTGGGTTTTTGCCGCCTCCTTTTTCGGACTTCTCTTGGTCTTGAAGTGTGCGTTTATGAGTAGTGAGTGACCAGCCCATGACTGCACAATTTCTACTCAATCCTGATTTGACTGCCAGGGCCATCTAGCAGTTAATCAGGAGACTTGGGTGAGAAATGGCTGTTGAATTTTGCTAACAAAACGTCTCATATCATGCTCGTAAGGTTCTTTTACATGCCGTAAATCTACGACATGGGACCGCCGGCTTTACTTCCCCTTCGAAGGAAGTTGTGCTACAGATTTTTATCACTCTTTAATATCCATCAACCTCAGCTGGGATTGAACCCGCGAACCTTGGGTCCATTGGCGAGCATGCTAACCACTAGTCCACCAAGGGTGACGTTTATTTTAATTAGTTCAAGTAAATTTGGTAGTCATAATGAAATTCAACATTAGAGACATTTGTATCATGAGCCCTTGAAACCTTGTGGAATCCCAAGGTTGCACTAAACAGAGTTTGGGATCTCTGTCTCCTAGATTATTATTCTTGCCTGTATATTTTATTACCTATGTTAAATGTTGTTGATTTAAACAATTTATTGAGAGGTGGCTTCTTAATAACCAAATTATTTAAATAAGTAATATGGTGTTTATTAACGTGTTCACCCTACTTACTGTGATGCTGATTATCTCTCAGCAGCATGAATTGCTAATGTTTGACAGTGTTGGAGGGTAAAGAATTAAATGACAATTGATTAGCTTGGCTGTTAAAGGAATTGTGAAAGGTAACTTCACCATCTAGTAATAGAAGATAAAGTTACATGCTCAGGCTGCATTCTGAAAGTGACTTTGTTTGTTCCTCTCTGACCAAGGTGGATTTGGTAGGCTGGAGAAAGCACCAGCAAACACTCATCCTCAGATGCGGGAACAAGTGTATTAAAGATTATTATATTTGTTATTTGTATATTTCTGGGTTGTGAGGCCATGTGGTCTTTTAAGTGATTAACACTGTTTATGTGAAATGTATTTCCTACATATTTAGAGTGAAGTGAAGTAACTTAATCTTGAGGATGGTGGCAGTACATTCCTCTGTAACATTGGTACCAGATACAAGGCCTCATTCAATACAGAAGAGCATAACTGACATCTCTGCTGTGAGAATCTCAGAACTCAGTCTGTAATATTATTTCAGGTAATAGAATTAGCTCTACACGCAAACAGATGTCTCGTTCCACTGTCCAGTGTAATCGGCAGCGGCAGCGATGCGTTTCAGATTCAGAAGACTCGGACAGTTCAGATCATGAAAATTCTGATAAAGGTAAGTATTCTGAATATCTAGATCTAAATGTGCATCAAACAATATTTATATCTTTTTTGGAATCATCTAGATCATCCTTAAAACAAGATTAGTTTCTATAGATTAAAGAAACAAATGGGAAAGTGTAGAATAGCTGTTCACAAGTTATATCTTCTCTTGTTTGTCTTCTCATTAGTCATTTATTCAACATCCTCAGTTATTATGCTGTCAGAGAAATCCTGTTCTTATTTGTGTATCATTAACTTTACCAGCCTTTCTTTAGTTTTATTTACCTTCAAGTTATTCTTATCTAAAGAGATTTGTGACATTCTGTCTTTGAAAGCTCATATCCATTTCTCATTGCTTATGTCATTTCAGAGTCTGTCCAAGTCAAAGGCCCACTGTGTAACTTTTCATAACATGCTAGTTTCTAGTTTGGTATAGTAATGAGTTATTACCCCTCCTGAACCCCAAGTTTTTATGGTCACACTTTTCACTTCACCTAACTGCAAATACAGCCTACACAATGTTGCAAAGCGTACTGCTACATCTTGTACAATATATTCCCATGCATAGCACTTTGTTCTACCTATTTTGTGCAAATCTTAAAAGAAAGTGTGTATGGTGTATGGATAAATATAGTACATAGAACTATAATTTTAGTACCTGCTGTTTTGTATGGTCATGAAACTTGGTTTTTCGCATTAATGGAGGAATGCAGATTGAGGCTGTATGAGAATAGGGCGCTGAGAATTTTTTGATCTAGAGGGAAGTAAGTAATAGGAGGCTGGAAAATATTGCATGTTGAAGAGCTTAACATTTTTTTTCATAGCTGAATATTACTGGTGTGATTAAATGATGGAAGATTAGGTGGACATGGCATGTAGCATGAGAAATGTATACAGAGTTTGGTTATAAAACATGAAGGGGAGATATAGATGGAAAACCTGGAAATGGATGAGAGGATAATATTAAAATGGGTCATACTGATGTATGGCAGGAGAATGTGGGTTGGATTCATTCAGCTGAGAGTGGGCCCCATTGATTGCCTCTTGTGAACTTGATAATGAGCCTTTAGATTCCATTAACTGTGGTAATTTCTTGAGTAGCTGAGTGACTTATGTTCTCAGGAAATACTGTTCTCCATTAAGTTGGTTACTATTTTGTCTAATGTCTAGGTTTTATCCCTTATTGTTCATTCATATCTTGAAATTTAATAGGTACATCATCTTTGGTACTGATAATTACATATGTCTCTTATCTTATATCCACATTTCTGATTCATATATCAAAATAGACAAAATGTGTCTTATGTTACTTCATTCTTTTCTAACTTTGTGAATGTTTTTTGATATGCCAAAGATACAGATGTAACCTTTATAAATACAGAAGTATCACTGCTTAATGCTAGGAGAAAGGTTCAATGTGTATTCCACCCTTAAACTTGCCACATCCCACAACAAACTTGTGTAGCTGCAATCTCTAATATAAAATGAACATGTGAAGGGAATGGTGACAGAGATATAAGCTTGGCTTATAACTGCTTGTGTAAAAGCAAGGAAAGCAAAGCTGTCCACCTATGTGCCATGTAGGTGCTTGGGGGGGAGAGGTGGTATAGCTCCTACTCATTCTTGACCTCAGCACTAATGGGGGTGAGTGGTCAGCGTCACGCCCTGGCCGCGCTTTACCCCCGGGAAAGGACCCCAGTACCCATTTGTTAGGAGGCTGGATGGGCCCTAGAGCCGGTCTGGATGCAGAGGCTAGAGGAAAAATTCTCTGCTACCATTGGGATCGAACCCGGTTGTCCAGTTTGTAGCCAGTCACTATACTGACTGAGCTATGCTGGCTCATATAACTAATTGTGTGTGTGTGACAAAATTTGGTTTGTGAACCTTCAGTAAATTCAGTAATTTTTCCTTTTGATGATGGAGTTCATCATCTCCTATATCTGTATTTTTAATGCACTTTTGGACATTCTGGTGTTATCCATTCTTGCATGTGTTCTGTCTGTTTTTGCCTGTAATCTGTGTTTTTTCACTGTATGTTTATAATTCGCTCTTTTACAGCCAGACAAATAAATACAAAAATGCATGGACAGTATGCTCTAATATGCTCATATTTCAGAGAATCACAGCAGCAAGAGCCAAGGACATGAAGTTCGCAGAAGTGCGAGACTTAGATTAGTGGAGAAGCTGTCACAACCTCCACATCCTGTCTTGGACTCTGATGACTCTGACGAAGGTCTGAATACTTTTGTAATATGAATATGATTTATATATGTAAGTTTATTAATGTCATTAAATCATTTCATTTCCAGTCATCTTTCTTGTGTGTCCTTCAGTAATTTATCTGCCATTGCATTATGGATACCCATGTAAGCCTCAGTTTTCTTCTCTTCCTCCACTTCTGTTACATCCATTTGAGCACTGTACACTTTTGTATGCCATTCTTTCAACATGTTTATGCGGTTTTAAATGTTGTATGTCATCCAAAACACAAGCTGTTTATCTTTTCTCTCTTGATTTGTGGCTTGGGATTTTGTCATTCCTTTATATTTTTGCTGAATTTTTCCAAAATCCATGTGTGCTGCCAGTGATTTTGTATTTTTATTTTTGAAAGACATAGTTCCAAATCATAAACCATGAATTTGTTATTATTGTCTTGTAAATATTTGAACAGATTTCCTTCTAACTTTTTTGTTTCATAATATACCAATTTACCATTCATATTTTATAATTATTATGTGTACCTGAATATGAGACAGTTTCCCCCCCCCCCATAATTTATACGTGAAGAGTGAGAGGTTCTTTTATCACAAAGCAAAGTACTTCACAAAGTTGAATGTTTGCTTTGAAAGTACTACAATAGTGTTGTGTAGCACTGTTATCTGTAGCCTGGGCAGATTATCCTTTTGTTCAGTTTGTAATATGTGGGAGTGAGTAGATAAATTACGTATTTTATTTCTTAACAGAATTAAATATTGACCGAGGAAAATGTTGACTCAACATTAAAACTGCAAAAGCACTGTCTTATATTTGAGGAATATACAGTAACTATACATTCACTTTGTTGCTGTGTTTAGATTGTGTTGACCTGTGATTTTATGCCTCATGAATTTCTTACTGTATGGGTTCAGTCCTTGGCGGAGGTTATTATAGTAATGAAATATCCCTTGATTTCTGAGCTATTGGAGTTTGAATGTTTGCATTTACATTTTAACCCATTGACTGTAGGCCTTGAACTTGAGTGCTTTTAATGCCACGTGCCAAAAAAAAAAATGGAAGTATGGTATGACTGTGAAATTTGTATGTTGACATCTATATGTCTATTAGTATAAATGGTGTTGAAACCCGCAAGGCATAATGATTCACACCTCACCAATAGCAATATTTTTATTGCTTGTGTAATAGTATAGTCTCATCTCTCATTGCAGTCTTAAATTTCTATGCTTTTATTATACTTATTTGCTTTGCACATGATTGGTGTGTTTTTAATGTTCTCTGTGATTTTTCAGATGTTTTTGTGAGGCCCAAGACACCAATGAAGAAATTCACTGATATGGATAAGAAGTTAGGAGGTGATATAATGACTAGTGATAAGTAAAATATTGTTTAAGCATTCTTTTGTAAAGAATGGGTTAGAAGATGGCTAATCAAGTGACAGCAATTGGAAGATCAAAATAGAAGTAATGTAACAGCTTGAATAATCAGGGTTTGTCCATAAATGTATTATGTTATTTGGTTAAATTTGCTTTCCTCAGTTTCACCACAGGAAGATCCAGCTAGTTATCAGTCCTGTGGCTTAGCCATTGCTAATAGTAATCAGACATGATTATTAGGTTATGGTTGGGAATAGAGCCTAAAATCTATTTTTTAACATTCCCGCAACATCATCTGGAAATAAGTGTCTTGCAAGTTCAATTGGCTTCAGATATGCTGATAGCCATCTCTTAGCTGGTGGTTCTGGTATTCTTTGGTAAGTAACATCTTTTCTGTCAGAGTCAACTGGAAATCAAGTTTTTTTTAAATGTTTTTACTGTTCCCCCTATGTGCAGTATATGAATGTGCTGTGCATGGAAACTGACCATGATTTTACAGCTTATCAACACAAAGACAAAGACTAGCTGATGGACAGAAGAATATTCCCATAGTTAAGGAACAGAGAACCAGTATAAGGTGCGGATAAGTAACCACTATACTATGATTCCACCATCCAGTAGGGCAGAGGCAATACAAGTGAATTTATTGTCTTGTGCCCACATCACCCCTGATGATGATGTGAGTAGGTATCTGAAATGTTGGTTTTTAATTCATCTTTGGCTCAGCTAATCACCTGAGAGGACTTTGGTGAAGTTGGCAATGTGTACATAGTGTAACGTTTCTGATGTGTTTGCTGTGTTATAAATAACACTATTCAACAGCCAAAATATATCAGAGATGAAACAAACCAATTTTTACTAATTTTGAACTGCTAAACACGAAAGCGACATTCATTTTGCGTGATTGGTTCGCATTTTGAAGGTATTCTTCATACCAAGCTGTTTCGCTCAATTTTCGTAATTTTCAGAAATGTAATGGACTACTTACTTCAGAAACAGCTTGTACAAGGGTGGAGAAGATTTTATTGCTTCCTGCAGGTCTAGTCAACATCCCTTAAGCAGGCTACACACGTACAGGTATACCTGCCAGGTATGCCTGAACAGACGCGCCTCTCAGGTATACCTCAACGTGTAGATAATAAAAATGTACCGTGTAGACGCACTAGAGCAGGGGTCGTCAACCTAGTCCCTACCGCCCACTAGTGGGCGATTCAAGCTTTCATGGTGGGCGGTGTGGGTTTTTGTCCGTTGTTACAAATTTGGCAGTAAGGACATTTTACCACCAACAAAGATACAAAAGTGGGCGGTAGGTATAAAAAGGTTGACGACCCCTGCACTAGAGCATGAGGTATGCCGAACAGGCATATCTGTTCAGGCATAACTGAAAGGTATACCTGTACGTGTGTAGCCGGCTTAAGGGATGTTTAATAAAATGGTTCAGTTGTCCTTGTGGTTCTGTTTGGCAAATAAGTGTTTTGTGGGGTGTGTTGCAAAGTGGGTGACATGGACATGGCATGGGCACCCCATATTTGCTGTCTGAAGTGTTCTACAAATCTACGTGAGTAGCTAAAAGGAAAAATGCAATCTATGCCCTTCGCTGTGCCCATGGTGTGGCGGGAACCTCATAACCATGTAAACGACTGCTACTTCTGTATGTATTCCTATAGCTCATGCGGTTCATATGAAAGAGACATACGATAACATTAAACTATTAATTAACAGGGTGAATTATGGCAAATATAAGTGGTGGCTATCATACTAGGCCTTCAGATGGGTTACACAAAATATTGCTGCTTCCTGTGTGAGTGGGACAGTCGTGCAAGGAATATACATTATGAAACTAAACAGTGGCCCCTTCGACAGAACTTGGAACCAGGTACTAAAAATATTGTCCGTGAACCACTGGTAGATCAGAGCAAAATATATTGCCAGCATTGCACATTAAATTGGGTCTGATGAAAAATTTTGTAAAAGGAATGGACCGAAATGGAGAAGCCTTTAGGTACCTCTTTCACAAATTTCCCCGACTAAGTTAAGCTAAAATCAAAGGAGTTTTTGTAGGTCCCCAAATAAGAAACCTGATTGTTGATGAACATTTTGTTGACATTTTGATGGGAGAGGAGAAAATTGCATGGGAATCCTTCAAGTCAGTTGTTAGGAATTTTCTCGGAAACAACAGGGTGCCAAACTATAGGGAATTAGTAGACAAGTTGTTGAAAGCAGTAAAATGGGGTGCAATATGTCTCTTAAAATGCATTTCCTCCACTCTCACTTGGTCTTTTTCCCTGATAATCTGGGATCGGTTAGTGATGAATATGGCGAACGATTTCACCAAGATATTTCTACTCTTGAAAGGCGTTATCAGGGGAAATGGAGTGCATCAATGATAGCTGATTACTGCTGGTCATTAGTAAGATATGCCCCTGAGGTAAAATGCAGAAGAAAGGCCAAAAGACAACGTCTGTAAGGTAGGTGAAAATTTTTAAACATTTGCATATCATATGGATGAATTTATTGGTGATATTTTACAAAGTACAAAATATCTTCAAAATGCGAACTAACTGAACTTTTTTATTGTCATTTTCGAATTTAGCGGACGAAAATACATAAGAATTGATTAGTTTCATTTCTGATATATACAACTCATTAAAATTTGTTGTCTAGTGTAATTGGACTTGTACCAGTCACCTTGACAAGAGATAAGTATTCTTGGTCCCAGGACTAGTGGCCTTGGTCATGGGGACCAGTGACCCTAGATCTGGGACCATTGATGGTCTGATGGCCAACAAATTTGTTATTAGCATCAAGGCCATTATCTTAAACACATGCAAGTGCTTCAAAGTGCCCATTATTGTTGACTGATTTTAACCAAATTTGGAATATACCAACAAATTTTGGTAAAACTCTCCATGACCAAATTTCACAGGAATCTGTTTAGCCATTCTTGAGTAGTTACACACAAACGTATGGAAAGGATGAAGGTAATAGGCATAATTTTGCAGTTTTTAGTTTTGAATATATCTGAAAATGAAGAAAATTTGATTCATTTCTCTGACAGGAAAGTATTGAAATACTTACTTGAAATCTCCTATTAATAGGTAACATTGCAAGGAATCTGACACCAGTATGATTTCTGTTTTGCCAGCTGTTGGAAAAGATATATATTTCTTTGACAGCTTCAGGTACAAGATTAGTGATGCAGTCCAGTAATAAGGAACATATTTCATAGGGTCCTCTCTTAACTTTTCCTTCAAGATATATGTAAAAAGCGACTTATTATTTTTATATTATTTGTTCCAAGCATATTTAACCAGAGGTGGTGAAAATAAAAATATCTATTGTACTGGTATATGTGGAAGTGGTAGATTTTTCATTAACTCCATATAGGTACTCGACTCCACATGCGTCAATAATGTACTGAATCTAAGGAAGGTAGTATGCAGTTTCTACTTAACATTATTGTTATCAGACTAGAGACTTCATTGATAGCATGTTTAATTACTTGAGGAGGAGGCAGAGAATATTCAGTTTGTGCTTGTTAAATTGCAAGAATTCTCTGCTGATCATCAGGTCTTTAGTATTGCAGTGGAGGATAGTCAAGTTCAAGTGGAAAATGTAGCAACATAAGAATCGTAATAGCTCCGTCTCTAAGTGTGACAAGCTGTCACTCACAGTCAGGTTTCAATCCCATTGCTGTTTTCTGTTATGGAGCACCCTTTTGTTTAATGAATTCAGAGCGTTACTTTATCTGCCTGCAGATGATGCTGAGAGCTCAGATGAGGATGTGATGGAGAACCACTTGGCTTCCCCAGATCGTAAAAGACTTTGTAGAGGTTTAGACAACAGTAAAACATTGACTGCCAACACACCTCAACCTAGAAGTATGCCTCGGCCAAAGTTCACACCCAGAGCTAAGGGTACACCACAGACATCAAGTGCAAATGGGCATAAAACAAAGAATAAGTAATGTTTGTAATTCATATTAATGGTTCTCAATTCTTGCAGTCATTCTTGGATTAATTTAGGACTAACTCTAAAGGTAGAATATATTATAACATAAGGTATTTGTAAAATTATGTAACATTTTGTTTATTATGTGTGAAGGTAATTTATTCAGTAATTTTTTAAGTCAGTTTGAAATTCTAAATTTTTGTGAGAAACTGTGAAACTCATTTATCCTTGATATCTTTGCCTGCATTCCATAATGATTGTATCACTGAATACCTTCAAGCATCAGGCAGAAGTATCTGCCCTCTTACACCTGTTCAGGCTTATAGAAACAGTGGAATAATACTTGTCATTTATTTTGGCATAAAAAGTCATAAAGGTCTTGTCCATTATTTTATGTAATGTTATTATTATCTATGTCGTAGAAGCACATGAAGTTTAGTCCACTTTTTTTTAAATATGATCTGCAGCTTGAGAACCATATTAGATACAGAGTTTTTTTTATGTATTATGAAGATTTACAGCAATATTCTGAGATGAAATACTGTTAACACATTATATTTTAAATAAGATTACATTTACGAAATGACATACAAGGGCCATATTAATAATATGCATTGATTGGATCGGAATGCTTTTTAGTATGACACACAGTGGATAGTTTAGTTTTGCTTTTTACTAATAGGCTGAAGAGAATTATTTTTCAAGAAACAGGTGGATTAAAATAGTATAAGGATCTAGGTCACTGAAACTTTCATGTACAGACCTAGCTTACCTATTACTCATAGGTAGGAAGCATCTAAACCAACTTGAGGACACTGTATGTTTTTGTCTGTTAATTTTCATGACGGTAACAATTTAATTTGAAAATAAAAAATAATTTACCTGGACTTAGCTTAAACCATGCAAAAATTAATTGTGGAAGGGGTAGCTAAATACTACTGACTTATATTTTTTATATGTCCTGCTGTTACTGTGGGAATAATTAGCTTTATTTATGAGATATGAATATGATATTTATGAAATTATATTACAGTTTCACCAGCATAATGTCACTTCACGTGTTTGCCATTTGTTAAGGATTGGTGAGAAAGATGTGTTTCACTGAGTTGTAGAAATATGAGTAGAAGTTTGTCTGTCATACCAGCTACATCTGTAAAAATATCTGGTGGAAATGAGTGGTGAAATGTCCTACCTTTATTTTAAGAAACTCTGTTACTTCTGTGTCATTTCTACTTGAAAATGAAATGCCCTGAAGTCTTGTGCAATAATCAGTATGCATCTTATTTTGGTTTAAAATCATACTGCTGAGATACAAATACTTGGACAAATTATATTGGAAAGTTTAAAATGAACCTCACTGTTTGACTATGACAAAGATAATTTCATTACGTTTATAAAATCAGAATAAATGACTCCTATCATTGCTTATGCTCACCTGCCCCAATAGTTTAAATATCTGGCAGTTTTGGGATGTTATTGTACTATCTGAATCTGGGATTAAAGTAATAAATCATCTTCATTGTCATTGCTCATATTTTTTCAATATATATGCTGTATCAGATGTAATGTTCATACATTGTAGCCCATTTGCAGTTACTACATGTATTTTGTTCTTTGTCTCCTTGACCCTCCCCTCCCCATTTATTTTTTCTTTAATATTTTAGAAAATATGTATATTTTGTACTTGCAAAAATTTATTAATACGTATTTCCATAAAAAAGATTTTTAAACTAAACATACCATACTTCAGTAATCTTGTTTCCTTTGTAATAGAAGCAACATTTTATTTAATCTGTAGATTTAATCAACTGCTGACATTAAAGGATACACTAGAATAATGTTTTATTTGTACTAGAAGCCGGGTTGTGTATATCATTGCAACTTGTTAAGTATTCTATTTTAGAGTAAGGGGATATTATACATTAAGTAAACATTTTCCAAATATATTCTTTATGATTTTAGTCGCTCGATCTGTATCTTCATTTTTTATTAACAAAGTTGCTGTTGACAGATTTGACCTTTGTTGTATGGGGTTAAAGGGTTGAAATCTCTGCATTGTTATGCTCCTCGTTAGACTAACTCCTACGATTAATGGTATAGTGGTATGCCGCTACAGTGCACAACCAGATGGACTGCACATTAGTTATGATGCATGGCTGATGTAGGTTAAGGAGAGGAGGGTGATGAGGGGAAATAGCCATTTATGTCTGCCCAATGCAGAGAGAAGCCCTTACAGCAATATTGATAATGGATTTACAAATTTGGATGACTAATGTGAAAGCTATGGTCACAATGCACTGAAATGTAAGTAAACTTCTACCAGACTACATAGTGCTATAACCTAAAGACAGCTATCTTCAGATTTCATGTGATATGATATGTAATGATCAGTTGTGTGTTCATGTTCAAGCCAAATTTGTGCTTGTATTTTAGAAAAATGTATTTGTAATAATAACTGATATTTTTACAAATTTTATAACTGACAGAAGTAGTAGTAGAACTTTTAACATTTAGAATTTATTACCAGTCTATCAGAGTGCTGATGTTACTAATATAAATGTCTGTGCTTAGCAGGTAAGTACATGGTGAAAATCATGGAATTCAAAGTTATTTGCAAGCTGACTGATAAAATCTCTGAAAACCTGTTAGCATATCTGATTGCTGGGCCAAGATTTGAACCTGCAATTTCCCATTCACAGAATAGCAGTGCTAATGATTCTGCTTTTGACATTTGGTTCTCTGTTACTGTGATCTTGATATGTATATTTCCGTTTGATATATGATATTTTAAGTTTTTATGGAAGTGAGAGTTCATATTTTCGTCTCCTGGAATGTGACATGTAGTTTTAGAGGAAAATGCTTCCTCTGTATTCAGAGCAGAAGTGACTGGGTCTAGGAAGCAATACTGTTTTTAGGAAGTGTGAAGAATGGATCCACAGAAACAATACTGGCCAGTAGTAGCCAGGAATGGTGTACATTGAGCCCTGTTAGGACCAATGGGAGAAAAAGTTACAAGGTTCCGATGAAGGTAACTAAGAGAATAGTGAAAATAGCAGGGTCTGCACTCTTTGCAATCTCGATCTCTTGGGATTTTTCCGAACAAATCCATGAATACGCGATGACGTATGATTCGTAGATAAACTGCTTACAGTGAGCACACTGCCATCTAAAATAGTGTTGATTTTTTGCTGCCAAGCCGAAAACTTTCATCTGTGAAAAATAGTTTGACTTGTGTGTTCGATAATCAGTGACAGCTCAAAGTGGGATGATATTTATGGTACTGCATCGCTTATGTTTGTATCGTGTTTTGTATTTGTTATGTGTTACGTGGATTGTAATTTGGTGCTGTGGTGGAACTATGCTGTAAGGTTACAACGTGGTTGAGCGTCTTTACCATTCGCCTGCATGATATAATTTACTATCAGACTTGTTTCAAACCTCAGATTTATATTAATGTTTAGTAGATCACATACAACGTAACCTAAATAATTAATATAAATCGCTGCTCAATTTGTATTTGTTAAAGACGTGTGAAAGTATGTCCAAATACGGGCATATATGTTTGTTAGCAATAAAATATGCTTGTATATAGTGTAACTTCGTCAAAAATGCCGTACGAGTAAAAGTAACTGACCACAAAGATGACTATCTTCTGGGTTGTACGATCGTATACTCTGTAGGCTGCCTCCATCATCAGGGCATGCCCTGATGTTGGAGGCAGCAAGGGCCTCTGAAACGTTCATAAACGTCTACCAGACTACAAGACGACACATTCCAGGAGACAGCTATTTTCATAATTACCGCAGTGATTACAGTTTCGTAAAGATATAGCCTGAAGAATAAATTTGCTTTTCTGAAATGTTGTTTGATGACATTGTAAAGTCTTAATCATTGGTTTCGCATGTTTTATTGCACGCAGTCTGAATATCATTATTTGTAACATAGGATCACCTTACATGAATAACTTGACATATTCGTATAACTGTATTGGAAAAAGCATTCTTTGTCTCTCCCATTTCAAAGTATGCGAAAGAAAAAATGCTTTGTACGAAGCATATTGTGGCTTTAAAGACAGAAAAGTTTAGTAGCATCACTACATTTTCACGATTATCAATTAGAGGCGTATTCTCTACTTCAGGTTTTTCGTTATTTCTTGCATAGTTTAGTTGTTATTGAAAACATTCCATCCCGCCTTTCATCTCTGCAAGCTACTTTCGTCTTTCATCTTGTTACCTTATTGCCCAAATTTATATTTTATACAATGGAAACTAGAAATATTAAAGTGATTGCAGTGCTTTTTAATATGCACAAATAAACATTTCCTTTCACAAATTAATTTTGATTTTTATATGGAATCAATAAATAAGCATTCATATCACCCCATTTTTCTTTGATAGGCAAAGAAAAATTTGTAAACAAGTGAAGCTGGATGCCGTCGGTGTGAAACCTGTCTATGCGTCTAGAGAACGTGAGAAAGAAGTTAGCATTTAGTTCTGAAAGAAATGTCAACGCGTTCTGATTCCAGTAGTGAGAGTCAACCGTCAACAAACATTGCAGTTCGCTGTAAGCTCCCTACGTCAACAATCTCGTCTACTCGAAACCATCACTGAAGAAATTAGCACAAAGTAAGTCGGAACAGCATTT